GAAAAGGGAATTTAAGAAAGGGTTGGAGGCAGGACAATAAACAGGTAGATATAACAGATTTAGGACTCTTGAATTCTGCTGGCATTATTTAAAATGTATTATCTTTTCTTTCTGTTTACCAAAATCTTAAGTACAATATATATCATTCTCTGTTTGAATTCACAATTGATTCACGAAATAAAAGTATACTGTCTTGGAAAATGTGAAATGGCTTGATTACAAGTAAGCAGAAACAGATATAACCATAACCCAAAAATAATTGTCTTATTCCTCAACCTAATTTCCATGTATATTCTATTCTTACAATGAATACGCATGGAAATTAATTTTTACAATGATGTAATTCCTTCATTATACAACTCTCTGGTTTTCAAGTTTTTAAACTTGATATTTTCACTTGTAAGAAACTCATTTTCATGCACAGTGACTTCAAAGTAAAAGAAATATGATTTCAGTAATTTCAAATGTCTCCCACCTCTAAGGTCCAAAGACATTTTTAGAAACTTAGATGACTGTAATAAACCAGGTTTTCTTGTTTATATATAAAATAATACAGAAAATATTTTCTTTTAGCTTTCATTTAACTCTTTGGTACAGAAAAACAATTACCTCTCTTATAGACTGAATTGATTGCCCTCATATTCATACGTCAGAGCCCAAAACCCCAATGTGACTGTATTTGGAGAGAGTGCCTGTAAGTAGGTAAAGATTAATTCAGTAAGGTCTTTAGGTTAGGGCCATTATCCCATAGAACTGGTGCCCTTACAAGAAGAGGAAAAGACACCAAGGAATGCTCTTTCTCATGTACAGAAAAAGGGCCATGTGACGATACTCTTAAAATCAGAATTTGTCCACATCTTGATCATGGACTTTTAGCCTCCAGAATTGTGGGGAAAAAAGGATTAAGCCTTCTAGTCTTTTGTATTTTCTTATGAGAGCCCAAGCAAACTATAAAATCTCTAAAAATGAGAAGCTTATATTTTTGAGGTAGTTTTACTCTACCGATAATCCAGTTAAATGAGTGGCTGATTGTTACAAAGACGATCCACTTATAAAAGACAAGGGACTGGGCCAACCTGAAGGATAATTCATACCCCATGCCCTTAAATTTTTATATATGCATGATTCTAAATTCAACAAATATTTTAAGTTTTCATTTTAGACACAGCATAAAGCTTTGTACCATAAGATACCACCATGCTGTGCCTGACTCTTACAGTGTGATGGTATAATGTCTATAGAAAAGTCCTCAAAGGAGTCTCAATAATTTAACCCTCATTGGAAAATACTAACAAAAAAATCTTGAAAATTGAAATGCTGATTCTTTTGAATACCAATAGCATTTGCTCTATATAATGAAGAAAGTTTCAGCAGCACCAGCTCCCCATTCTTGTACTTGCCACAAGATGATATAAAATTTTATTTCTTTGAGCCCTGGCTGGGTAGCTCGGTTGGCTGGAGAATCGTCCTGATACGCCAAGGTTGTGGGTTCGATCTATGTCTAGGACACATAAGAGAAACTTTTATTTCTTTGATACTGACCTCATTACCATTCAGAGTAAAGGCTATATATCCACATTTGGAAATCACTCTTTCCTTAGGACTTCTACAGTCTCAGTGGTGAGAAGTGAATTATTAGAATATAGGGTGGCTAATATTTCTACAGGATTCACCCATTCATTGATAAGGATAAAGCCACTTCCCACTTGCAGTAGAAGTGTAGAATACAAAGGTTCTTATGCATTCTGGACAATTTTTTAAACTCTTGGAGGCAGGTGTATGTGTGGGTTTACATGTAAATACACAAACAAACATCAGATACTGTCAGATGTTTTAAAGGTATTTTATAGTGCACTCATAATTCCCGAATTTTGGTCACATTTTCTTTTTTTAAAAGTACTACTTCTGGAGTGCTTCCCAGGTCCCAAGAAATGTATCAAGCACTTGACATAATTATTTATTATCACAGTCCCACAAGGCAGAGATCATTACCCTATACTAAGAGGGCAACACAAAATTTCAGAGAGGTTAAACAATTCCCCAAATTCCTTCGATTATAAGTGCCAGATCTAGGACTTATGTCTGTTCCTCTGAATTCACATATGTCTAAGAATGTTCCTTTCCCCTAATTATAAGGAACTATAAACTATCAAAAAGAAGCATTGTTTATATACTCCTAGGTTTTTACATCATCTTTATCCACAAAGGCCTGGTAGCAATGTCTTATAATACCTGTGGAACTAATCAAATCAATATTGGCTAAGAAGTTCTATGTGCCTAGTAATTTTCTAGAAGACTTAGGAGACAATAAAGCAATGTACAATGAATATGACCTCAGGTGGACTACCTGAGAAAACTCCTGGTACTCAATTTGACCTAACCTGTGGTAATACAATTGTTAACCTCCCTACAGTATCTACATTCTTTGTCTCTAGAATGATTACTCAAATTGATCGTAAGAGGAGGTACTTGAGTACTGTTATCTGGTAAAATTATTATATTCTACAGGAAAAAGCAAAGCATTCATTTTCTCATTCTCTACCTGCATCCAATTGTTAACATTTGTCGCAGTGCTGAAACCTATTAAACATAGGTAAGAAATTATTATGAGTATCATTATTTCCCTTCTCTAATTCTGGGTGTAAACTAAAGAGGGTCTATAGTAATTTTCACTTGTTTTAAAACTACTTATAAAAACTATAATTTAAGTCTATTATGTATACCATAGGCCCTCACTGCATGGTGGAGAAAATTCTAATGTTCAAAAACATTAAATTTTTGAATTATATCAATTCCTCATTCCTTAAAACTTGTCACAGACAGGGTGTAAACAGCTCACTGTGCTCCATGTAACAACTAAAGGATTCATGGTCAAATAATTTTACATATTAAACAGATATATTTACTATGGAACTTCATGGAAGCTAAATATACTATGTGTACTGTGTCTCTCTAGAAGAGCTATAAACAGGGTTATTTATATTATTAGATATTATAGTGAAAATATGCATGGTGCCTATCAGCCTTTCCCTACTCCATCCCTTGTAAACGGCCACTCCCACCCTGTGACATGAGGGTTGCCCATGTGACATGCTTTGGCCAAGGAAACATAAGGGGTAGTGACATGCCACTTTCAAGCAGCAGTTCAAAGAGCCACCACGCTACCACCATCCCTTCCTCCTTCTGCCACAATATTGTACATCCCAGATGATGAGAGAGGTTGCACATTTAGCTTTGGCCCAGGAACGAAGGGGACATGGAGCAGAGTGGCAGCAGACTCATCAGGAATATATAAACATGAGTGAACCACTAAGATCTGGGGATTCTTTGGATAATGAAACTCAACTTTGCCTAAGCTGAATGATATAACATGTCTTTTAGATTTATTGGACCCTAGCATCCTTTTGCCACAAAACATTTTCCAGATTTTCTCCCTAAATTATTCCTGGTTTTGAATGGCATCTTTTCTATTTTTAGTTAACACAGCATCTAAGATGAACATGTATGTAAACTAGAAGCAAATGTCTTAGTCATCTTTAATTGATGTTCTTAAATTTTATCAGCAGTTTGAATTCGTTAATTTCTGCTTATAGTCAATAAAAATATTTTATTGAAATAACCTGAATAACATTAGAAATCATAGATCAGATGGCCACTTAAATGTCAAGACTGTTGTACCGATGCTCATTAACAATTTAGTTTTCTGAACCGGTCAGATAGCATCCTGCTTTCCTTATATGTATTCATGTTTAGCAAGTTCAGAATTCTTCAACAAACTGATTCTTTAAAACTCATATGCTCAACTCCCTTATTTGAAATTTTAGTATCAATATTTAAATATTCTAGAGTCCATTCTGCTGATCCAGTAAAACCACAATCAACTGTATGCTAACTGGCATTCTTAAATCTAGAGTTTGTCTAACTTAATTTTGCTAAACTGCATACCTTTTTACTACGTGTGCAATCATACACAATGACATTCAGAAGAATAGTTCATAGGCCTTATATTTCTGCTCACATAATTAGAACAATATTTAGTCACATATTTACTAAAACAAGAAGCACAGATATTCTAAACAGATTTAATAAGCTAATAAAAATACCTAAAAACAGAAAAGTTTTAAGATTAATTTTCAATTCATCAAAAATTAAAGGATAAGTTCATGCCCTGGAAACTGATCTAAACCATATTTTCTATATTTGTTCATTTTAATTTACATCAAATTCTCCAGTGTTATAAATCATCAACTCAGCATAACGTGTTCAGGCATTAGTAGAGCAATCATACACTTTATTCTCATATGAGAAAACTGAATGCATTAAATAACTGCTATTAAAATTTAATATATTACCATAAACCATTAAATTTTTTGTCCTGAAGGAACAACTTTGAAAATAACATATATAAGAGGACAGTTGTAGTACTTGTGAGTTTCAGAGTTTGATATAATTTGTCACATGTATATATTTTACAGTCTCAACTTTTTCTTCATTGGGTGGTTTTCACATTCAAAATAGTATCATGATGTTGCTATACATTCCTCTGTTATTTTTATTAGGTAAAAATATCCTCCATAATGCTTTGATACTGATTAATATTTCAATTAAAATCTAAGGCAGTACAAAAATAGCTTTTGGGAAATAGACCGATTTACTATTTAGTTATGTAACCTCTAGATATTCAGTACTTGAAAAAACTGACTTTTCACCAGCAGTACATTACTATGGAGAAACAAATTGGAGACTTTGAAATGGTTAATTTATATAAATTCATGATTTTAAAGAAATGACTTACTTGATGATGGAGATTAAAATGTCACTTTAAAAATATAATAAAAATGACAAGAAAAAAAATACGAAATTATCACACTTCCCTGAACAAGGAAGGTGAATCCATCAGAGAAGAAAAAGTTGAGATCCGCTCTGAGGGCACGTAGTCCTTGACTGCTTCATTGCCTCCAGTTAGGTAAGTAAGATGGCACCTTCAGTGCTGTTCTTACCGGTCAAGTCAAGACTTTCCATTGTGATTTCAATGGAACATCAGAATCCCCAGCTCCCGTGATGCAGCAGGATTCTGTGAAAGATCATAGCAAAGTAGTTAAAATAGTGAGCCATGAAAGCCTTTACAACAAAGCTAACACTTATTGTCCTTTACCAAAATAATCCCCCAAAATGAAATTAACAGCCAAACCATGAAAATCAAACAAGTTAGTAAAAATCTGTTAACACTTTTTAGAAAAAGTGGATGTTTTTGTCAACTTTAACAAAAAGACAGTCATTACAATGACTAAATGGGAATTCTGAGATAAAAGTTACAAAGAAATGATTCTCAACTTTTTGGCTACTAGCAAGTGTAGAATTACAGGCAAATCCCCTGGAAAAAAACATGATATGCTGGCATCTTGACTAGTTATTGTAAATTCTTTAAATGACTGGCCCAATCCAACCAGATAAACTGTGGTCTGAATATTAATATCTTATAATTTATCTTTTAAATATTTTAAAGTTAATGAGTAGAGCAAGATAGTTTACTTTTTTAATGGGGGATGAGGAAGACACACACAAATAGAGAAAAACAGGTAATAATGAATTACTTTCTAGCTACAAGTGATCCAGTAAATAGAAGATCAAAATCAGCAAAAGGGTGTCCATACAAATTAAAGGGAAAATTTGACATTATACTGCAAATTTAAACATATACCTAAATTGTATCATTTTTAAGAATTAAGTTATTTCAGGTTCTATGTGAGACATTCACTGAGTTTCTAGAATACTTCAATTTTACTAAATTGACACTCAACTAAGACAATTTTCTGCACCTCTGGAGATTAAGACAATATATTTCTTTATGATGAGTACATTATAACATCCTCTAGAAATCAGGCATCACTTACCAACTTAAAGGTTTATCAAAATCATGAGTCATTTTATGGTTTGGCTGAAATTTTTTTCTCTAATCAGTCACTATAGTATGGAAGAACTGGCTCTTACACATTAAATATCAAAATGTGTAATGATTGGCTTCTGGTCACAATAACGGCATAGATAAATGCAGTACTCACATCCTCCCACACTCACATCGAAATTACAACTACACTACAGGAGAACCATCATTCAGAACTGCCTTAAGTATAACTGAACAGAGAAGTTCTACAACTCAGGGTATAAAGAAGCCACGTGGAGACTTGCAGGAGGGGCAGAGAGCAGAAGGGGTTGGTTGCACACCCATGTGTGGTGAATAAAAACCAGGAGGATTTCTTAGCTACAGAGATCCCCCCTGAGGAGTAAAAGGTCCCAGTCCTATACCAGGCCTCCCCAGCCCAGGGTTCCAGTGCTAGGAAGAGAAGCCCCCATAACTGCAGGCTGTGGAAACAGGCAGGGATTGTGGCTGAGTGCACCTGAGGGCTTCTGGAGTCCCAGGCAGCTCCTCCTGAAAGGCCCATGCAGAAACTTACTCAGACTCACTCCCTCTGAGCTCCAGCACTGGGGCAGTGGCTCAAAGGGCACCAGTCTCATACTGGGAAAAACTAAGTTGTCTGGTATCAGGGTGAGAGCTGAAGGGGCAGCTTTCTCTCAGAATGACCCCTCCTCCCCTGATAGAGCCAGTAGGAGGGCACCATATCTGAGTGTCCTTCAACCTGGCTATCACTTGTTCCCTTCAACCTGGTGATTCCCTGAGACCCCGCCCCAGTCAACTTGTGGGCCCACCCAAGCTGTTTCCAGTGGCTTTTCCATACCAATGGCCTGTCTTGGTTCATGCTTCAGACTTTCCTAAAATGTCTCAAATAAGCAGCATCTTGCCTCAGCATGCCCAGTACCTCTTGCTAAGTGGCCCTAGTCCTAGCATGAGCAGCAGCCATCTGCAGATCACTTTGTAGCTCATGCAGAGTAACCCCAGGCAGGGCACAGGCAGCAGCTGACTTTGGCCTACACCTCCTGGGAGTCCCCAGAGGTGTCTCCACACCTCAGGGAGCTGCCAGTCCTTTGCAGCCAATCAGCCTGGAGGTAAATCCTTCTCAGATGCCAACACCAATCAAGGCTCAACTACAGCAGGAGTGTGTAAAAAGCCCACATAGTGGGGGGGAGCAGGTGCAGCTAAAGAGCCCAGCTCAGGTGAACAGGAAGGCTGTGCCACTGGACGCTACAGGACACCTACTATATTAGGTCATACTACCAAGCCCAGGAGACATAGAAGTTCTACCTAATACATAGAAACAAACACAGGGAGGCTGCCAAAATGAAGAAACAAAGAAACATGTCCTAAATGAAAGCACAGAACAAAAATCCATATAAATAACTAAACAAAATGGAGACAAGCAATCTACTAGATGCAGAGTTCAAAACACTGGGTATAAGCATGCTCAATGAGCTTAAGGCAAGAGTTGTGGAACTTCGTGAGAATTTCAATAACATAAAGAAGGACATGGAAACCATAAAAGACAATCAGTCAGAAATGAAGATTTCACAAACTAAAATGAAAAAAAAATTATGGGAAATCAACAGTAGAAGAGATAAAGCTGAGAATCAAATCAGCAATTTGGAATATAAGGAAGCAAAAAACACCTAATCAGAACAGCAAAAAAAAAAAAAAAAAAAAAAAGGAATCCAAAAAATGAAGGTAGTGTAAAGAGCCTCTGGGGTAACTTCAAGTGTACATAACGTTTGCATTATGGGGGTGCCGGAAGGAGAAGAGCAAGAAAGATTGGAAATCTATTTGAAAAAAGTAATGATGGAAAACTTCCCTAACCTGGTGAAGGAAACAGACATTCAAGTCCAGAAAGCACAGAGAGTCCCAAACAAGATGAACCCAAAGAGGCCCACACCAAGACACATTACAATTAAAATGCAAAAGATTAAAGACAAAGTGAGAATCTTAAAAGCAGCAAGGGAAAAGCAGTTAGTTACCTACAACAGAGTTCCCATAAGACTATCAGCTGATTTCTCAACAGAAACTTTGCAGGCCAAAAGGGATTGGCAAGAAATACTCGAAGCGATGAAAAGCAAGAACCTATAACCAAGATTACTCTACCCAGCAAAGCTATTATTTAGAATTGAAAAACATATAGAGAGTTTTCCAGACAAGAAAAAGCTAAAGGAGTTCATTACCACCGAACCAGTATTACATGAAATGATAGAGCTTCTAGAAAAAGAAAAAGGAGGGGAAGGAGAAGCAGCAGAAGAAAGAGGAGGAGGTGGGGAGAAGGAAGAGGAGGAGGAGAAGAGTCAAAAACATGAACAATGAAATGGCAATAAATATATATCTAGATATCAACAACTGAACAAAATAAATGAACAAGCACAGCAGAAACAGACTCATAGATACTGAGAACATTTTGACGGTTGACAGATGGGGGGGTTGGGTGAAAAAGATGAAGGAATCAAGAAGTACAAATTGGTAGGTACAGAATAGTCATCGGGAAGTAAAATACAGCATAGGGAATATAGCCAGTAATATTCTAATAACTATGTATGGTGTCAGATGAGTATTAGATTTATCAGGATGATCACTTAGTAAATTATATAATGTCTAGTAAGTTATATAATGTCTAATCACTAGGTTATACACCTGAAACTAATATAATAATTATATGTCAACTGTCACTGAAAAACAAAAAATTACTTTAAAAAGAATAAAAAATAAATTTAAAAAAAAACAAAATATGTAATGATTCATGTGAGCAACTGAGTAATCCTGTCAGATTTAGATGATTCAGCTGTCACCCAGTGCTAATGAAGAAAACAATAGCTGGAGAGAATGAATAAAATATTAAAGGTCTCATGTAGTTTCACACAAGATATTACTCATCCATAGTTTTTAAAATAAAGGTATGGATGAAAGAATAAATTCAGATCTTTGAAACTAACTACAAAGAATACATATGAATACTATCAAAATAAATGACTCGGTATTTACTAAGGCCACATATAATTCTTAATTATCCTAAAATAGGCAACTAAGATTATTAAAATTCTGCTTTAAGAAATTATATACACTATCATATATTCATTTGCATACTTTTCATATAAATCCATAAAATCCAATATGGAGAAGAATCATTAAAATAAATATTGTAAAATAAATGAGTAAAACTTGTGAGGTAAAAAATGACTATAAATACCTGTCAGATAAATTAATTGGTATAAATTAAAACTTTAATAAAATTTGTACTACCAAAATTGAGAGAGGAGGATCTACCATTAATTTTGATAGAATGGGTTTAATTCTTATTTTGCTTTAAAGGTTGGTTTACTTTTTAGTCTAAGAAGTGGGTACATGCTATTCAAGAAATGGCATATGCTAATATATGCTATAAACTCAACTTCTTTTAAAATCAAAATAAACTCTCAATAGTCTTCAGATACCCTTATAGATTGTTTCTACAATCTTATATATACACCCCCCAAATGGACCATAGCTATACCTTATTTTGATTACTGTTCAATACTTTATCACCTGTGATGAGTGGAGAGGATGGAGGTTGCCTATGCTGTGGCCTATATGGGTTTTTAAATTCTTAGGATATTATCCTACAAGGAAATCATGTTGGACTTCACTGACTCAGAGAGAGAAGCCAGGGGGTCAACCACAGAGCAGAGTCATTTGCAACGTTGCAGACCCTGTTTGAGACAGACTTCCTTTGATAGCCAAACTTAAAGAGATTCCTGATTTTACCTGGCTTGTACAAATGCTCATGTGAGTAGCTTCAGGAACATAGTTTCAGTATAAGCTGTTCTGCATTTAAGTTACAAGTACTCACAAAGTATTTTGATTTGATGGAAATGGATGGCCATGTGACATGTGAGGAGGGCAGATGGGCAGGCAGAAGGAGATGTCTAAAATGTGAACACTACCCTGCAAAAGAGTGATTTGATGTGCCTTTAGACCAAAGCCAGAGTAGATTTTCTCCTGAGCCAATGCATGCTTCTCAGTGTTCTCTGGGTTCCACTTTGGCTTCCTCTCAAACTCTACTCTCACCCACCCACCCAAGGCCTTGGATTCTTGACTCCCAGTGACTTAGTTCCCACGGCCTCATTAAAAGCCTGTTCCCTTTTCCTTCACAAGACCTCTGTTTC